CCAGTCGCCTCGCCCTATCCTCGTGGTGCTCACTGGCTTCCCAGGCTTCATTCACCCGGGCCTCCAGTTCATCGATCTCACGACACCGGTCCTCTGACTCGTGGCAGAGGAGCTCGTTCTCCTTCTTCAGCCGCTCGATCTCCTGTTGGAGTTCGGCCGGCGTCCCTCCCCCTTCCGAACCCTGCCATCGGCGGAAGTGGTCGTAGAGCCGCTCCTGAAGGGCGGCACGCGCCGTTCCATTGGCTTCCGCGAAGGACGCGTCCGTCCTCGCGGCGTCCTGGATGTGGTGCGCCCAGGTCGTACAGACCGGGCATCCTTCTCGGTGCACCAATGGTGCCATGTCGTCGCTCAGGACGATCCACTGCGACGTCGGCCTCGACATCAGCAGTGGCGGCATCCCCGGGGGCATGGATATGGAGGTCGGCGCTGGAGGGACGAATGGTTGGATGGGGCCCGCGTGCGCCATTTGCGGCACGTAGCCCATGTACGAGGGTGTCAGCTGGTACCCCGGATCGAGGCCCATCGGCATGCCCATCATCGCGCTCGTGTTCCCCTGGAACATAGAGGGCTGCGCGATGTTGCCCTGATGCTGCCCGTACGTCGACGACGATGCGTGAGGGCTCGCGTGCATGGGCGGAGAATGCGCGGCGAAGCCAGAGGCCATCGGTGGTCCGTGCTCCACTGGAGCCGGCATGGCGAAGTGCGGGTTGGCCTGTGGTAGCTGTTGCTGCTGTTGTTGTTGCTGTTGCTGACCGTCGAGTTCGACAGTCATGGGGGCAAGGTGCTGGTGCTGGGGCTGTTGAGCGTCCATGGTGGTGGTAGCGTCGAGGGCGACGTTGAGCTGGGGGCTGGCGACGGCAGCGACCTTATGCCATCTTTTGATGGGCCATGAACTAAGGACGATCGAGATCGGATCGGATCGGCGCTCGTTCCGTCCGATCGGTATTGCGCCGTGTCACGATCACGTGATCGACGCGTCGCGTCATCCCGACTTCTTTGGCAGGGCACGCCAGTGCTTGATGCCATTCAGCGCCAAGTACTCGTCCACCGCTGCTAACTTACTGCATTCCGCGTAAGGTTCCCAGCTTAAGTCGTTGTGCATCCATCGGACGCGCAACTCTAACTTATTACCCACCCACCGGTGGTCGACGATTTCATCAACATACCACTCTTGCTCGTCGTTTGCCCCTACATCGTAGAACGCACTCGAGTCGCGATGAGGGAACAGAACGTCATCGTTTGCCTCATGTCGTCGTAACAGCGACACATGGAACGTAGGATTGATCCTCCGATCTTTCATATCCTGTGGTAAATCTAGTATATATGTAGACGTCTCAGGATGAGCCGCTATTACAGTGTAAGGACCAATATATTTTGGTATTAACTTCCTCGCTCTCCCTTTCGGAAACGACAGGTTTTGAGTCGACAGGAATACTAATAACCCGACAGCAATGTCCGGCTCCTCTTGTCGGTGCAAGTTCGCGTAATGCGTCTGTGCGACGCGCGCAGTGAGAATGGCGTCGTGCGCAATCAATAGATTGGCACGAGCCCTCTGCGCAAATGCTCGGACTCCTTCGAACTCGGTATCCGAGCGGATGCCAGCCATGGTTCGCGGTAGGTAGCCGTAGTTCAATTCGAACGGGGCATATCCAGTCGTCGCACTGGTCGATGAGTTCAATGCGAACTCAGCGATCGGCAGCTTGTCAATTAGGTCGAGCTGGTCAGGGCTGACCATGGCCCGTAGTACCTGGTTAATCGAACGAATCGTTCGCTCCGACGCTCCGTCCGTCTGCGGATGGAACGCGGTCGACATGAGAAGTCGCGTGCCCATCAGTCGATGGAGTTCACGCCAGAACACCGAAGTAAACTTCGGGTCCCTATCGGATACGATAGTTTGCGGGAGGCCGTGCAATCGCACTACTTCCCGAAGAAATGTCCCGGCCAAGTCCGACGCCGTGTCGGTCGTGCGGATGGCAATGAGATGGACCATGGAGGTGAGTCGACAGACGACTACCCATACGTAGTCGTACCCTCCAGCGCGAGGGAACGGTCCTACGAAATCCATGGCGATGGCTACCCACGGGACGAGGGGAATGGGAAGCTTGTGAAGGAGCCCCGCAATCAAATGATTACGGGGCTTGACCGTCTGACATTTCTGACAAGAAATGCAGAACTT